ATGAATTGAGGTTAAGTAAAGTAATAAATAAGTGTGAGATGGACACAGAGAAATGAATCAAGGAGACTACAAACTAACAAACATTTCTTAATCGATTGTCCAAAAGAAAAGTCTATCATTGGAATCGATTTCGTATCTGTTTCAATTCTGTCTAGTGTGCAGATCATATTGACACTATGTATGCATTAATTAATAAAAAATTTTTCTAATTTTGGCACTATTCTAATTGTTTACTCACCACAATCAGATGAATAAGATTTTTTGTCGCGAAACGGTAAACTACACTTGCTGTTGCGTATGCAGCATCACTTGTTTGTTTTCGCAAATGATTTTATTTTTTTGCCTTCGCAGCAAGGCAACTTTATTCGTTTCTTACCATTCGTTTTTTTACATAATTTTCTTCCTTTTTTTACTTTTTCCCTACTACATGCTCTACTACGAACAGCTCCATATCTATACCACACGTGCAAAGAAATTTGCACACAACGAAACATGTGCATGAAACGATATGCTTGAATAGTTTTCACAAAGTGAGTCTTGTGCAAGCAACAAAAAAAAAGATACTTATACTTGAAAAGGTATCGAACAGCAAAACAAAGTAGAAAAAATAAAAAATGATTTTCTATTTTGAAACTCGTAATATGTTATATTCATATGTATGTTCCACTGGACATGTGGACATTGAATCGTTGGTTGAAACGAAATCGAGAGTATTTGAGCTATTTGTTTTTATAAAATGGTTTTTCTCGATGCTTATGAAATAGGAGATCGAATGATTGGTTGGGTGTGGGTGTGGGTGTGGGTGTGGGTGTGGGTGTGGGTGTGGGTGCGGGTGTGTGTGGGTGTTGGTGGGTGTGAGGGTGTGGGTGGGGTGTGGGTGTGCGGGTATGGATGGTGTGGGTGTGAGGTGTGGGTGGGGTGTGGGTGGGGTGTGGGTGTGTGGATTTGGGTGGGGATGTGGGTGTGGGTGTGGGTGTAGGGTCAGGGTATGAGGAAAGGACACAAAAGCCCACACGCACAGCGACACACGATATCCACAGGGGTGTGGGCCTGGGTCTAACTTATGCGTACATTCACACACACCCTCAACCACTCCCCCCCCCCCACACCCAGCTTGGCATTAGCCTTCCCTCCATTTCCCATTCATATAAAACGCACAAAAAAGGATGTTAAGTATCACTGCATAGATACTTGTATGGGCATTTTGGCAACATCCATATTTATCTATCCACAAATATACTCCCAAATTCTCACCTTTGAATATTTTATCAAATTCTTCGGCATTAAAGTTTCTTGAGGCACTTTATTTCATTACACGTTCATTTTTACAATCTTTCTTTAAAACAATAAATATTAAATGTTTTTAATGAAATTGTTAACTATTTTACGAAAGTAGCAGTCGAACAGAATTTTTCAAACTCAATAGCATTGTCTTTCATTCGTTGTGCAAATTTTAAATAAACATTCATTTGTGTTTTTGTATAGTGTTTATATTTGTTTATAAAGTATTCAGCAAGTTTATCTCGTATATGTTTCATATTTTCTGGATTATCCAATTCACGTCGTTTTTCCATTTGTTTTTCACTACGCTCTGAATGGCCCAAGAAATCACTCCTAAAAGGTATTTCTACTCGACGTGGTATAAAATCAGGAGTAGAAACAATTGTTGGAAATACTTGAGATAAACTGTAGATTATTTGAAATTGTCCTGTCTGATGTCCATATGTTGGACTTTCATCTGTCAGCATGTTAACAGTGCAAAGGCGAATCGTTTGATTTTGAATTTTTCGATCCCCACATGGTTTTCCGGAATACCAACATGAACTAGAAAAAAAAGTGCCGTTGGGCTTTGTGGAAAAAATTGAAAGAATTGATGAATCTGCAATCTTATAATGATTTGCAGGTATTTCAAATTGATGTCTACCACTACTAGCATAGGATGATCTTTCTGGTGTAAATAGAAATGACTTTCGCTTGGAAATATCGATTAACTTTCTTAACCATCGTTCTTCGAAGAAACTGAGTTCTCCTAAAAAAGAAAAATATAGACAAAAATATATTCAGATTTTGTAGGATTGACTGTGATGCTGATCTAAATATGACTCAGGAAGTTCAATTTAGAGACAGAAAATAAGTTCGGTGTTGCTTATTAAATACATATTTTATTATGCTTCTACCCAAGTGCATGAATCCATAGTGGGTCAATTCGATCGGATCCTATTGTCAGAATGATTTTTCTGGTTAGTTATTCCTGATACCAATTGCTGTCATTTTAGAGTGTACCCTTCATAAATTGTTCTTCTGAAATCTTACAAAAGACAAAAGAAAAAAAGTACTCGATTTTTTATTCCATTATCTTTAACCACATTTTCGAACGGAATCAAATTGACTTCATTATAGTCTCTACTTCACAAAATTCACATAAAATGACAATCGATATTCGTCCTGCACATATTTGTAATACACAGTCAAGACACATAAGCGCATTTAATGAACTTCTATAATCTATATATTTACGATATCGTATCTGTTGATAGGAAAAACAATCAGTTTTTGAAAAGATTTCATTTAGAATTCATTAATATGCTACGATTGTCAAATAAACTTACGTTTCGAAATCATATTTTTTACATGGTTATCTTGTTTGCTTGTTATTTTAACAGTATTCGTTGGTATACTTGGTAATTTTTTAAACGGATTTTTGAATTCTGGAATTTTTATTTTTTCAGATTTTTCAACAATTTGATTGTTATTGAATGATTGTTGTTTTACATTTGGTAGCTCTCGATATTCGTCAACATCTCGTTGTTGTGTACGATTTAATCGTTGTTTCAACATTGAAACGAATCCAGGTTTTGTATATTGAAGCTAAAAATAAATCAATTATTTAAATTATGAAAATTAAATTTCATCTTATTCTAAATTTACTAATTGAATTAATAATCGTTCATATTCTAAATCGAAATAATAATTGGAACCATACGAATGAAAAAATAATTTTCCTTCAAATAAATTATTATCCCAACCAAGTATAGGACAACTTTGAATTTTAACAAGAAAAACTTTTTTATCCGTTTGAAAAGCATATTTAGCTTCGTCTCGACATAAATCATTTTCATAATAATTTTCACTTATACACAATATAATGCAATCACATTTATCCATTTGAGCACAAAGATCAACTTGTTCTTCAGTTGTTCCAATTGAAAAACCTTCTTCACTTAATCGATTGATTAAACGTTGACATTTTCTTTTGTCATTTTGACTATAACTAACAATAATATTGTATAATGTACCCATTCTCATATTTTCAGATCGTGCCGAATAAGTACTGGCTGAATTAGGACGTTGATTTAATGATATAGGATTTTGTTTTTGTTTAACTAATTCAGCCAAAATTTGTAACTTCTTTTCAGCTTCTAAAATATTACTAGTTGAACCAATTAATTCAATTTCATCATTTGTTTCAGAAAGTTTTGGTAATATACATCTGTCTTTACAATATTTATAAAATGAATTTATTGTGTGTTGATCCCAAGATTGAAAAACACCATTTGTATAGATTAGTTTTATTGTAGAAGTACATCTTGAAATATATCGGTTTATTCTTTGTTGACATTTTGCAATATAGTCCGTTTCAGACTTTGGCACAAGAATTGTTATTTCAATAACTAAATCATATAAATAAAACTGTTAGCATAATTCCTACGTGATCAAAGTGTGAAAAACGACATAGAGAGTTTTATTCATGCAAGTAAGATGTTTAAAATTCTGTTTGTAAGTTGTACATTTTCATATTATACAATTAAGCGTGGGAGGGGAGTGCAAAATCTCTACCTTTAAGACTTCTTTCAGGTCGTGTAGGAAAGTAAAATCTTACTTGCAGTAGGCCATTCGAAATATATAATAGGCTCTTGAATTTTTTGTATAACATTAAAGAATTGTTCATATAGAGTTTGTTGTTCTGGTAAGCATACAAATGAAATATTCAATTGTAATTTATTCATTTCAATGTGTTGTTTAGCTTCATTAATCATTTCTTCTGCTAAGATAGTTTCATTTCTACATGAATCTGGTACAGCAAATGCAATTGACAATGTATGTTGCTCTTTAATTGTAAATTCCATAGATTTTGACATAAATGTTTGTATTGATAAACGTAAAGAATCATCAGTATTTATTAATGTTTTAGGTAACCAATTAGAAAATAAAATTTGTTTACAATTTAATTTACCTCCATTTGTTTCTGTATACATTGTACCATCATTTTGTAAAAACGTTTTTTGATAATCAATTGAACCTAATCGTTCAATAACACCTTCTTTTAAACCATTGAACATAGTTGAAATAATAATTGTATCAACCTTAACAAAAAAAATAACATTAAAATAAGTTGAATAGAATTTTTGAAAATAACTTTTTGTGAAGCAATATCTCCTGTACGAAGTTCTATGTATCCATTTGTTAGAGTTATTTTTTTAAATACATCACTCGAGAAAGAAAATAGATTTGATTGTTCTTCGATTGATTTCGATATTTGATTGTTAAATATAGATGCTTTTGGTAGAACAAAAGATTGATCGATATATTTTAATTTAGTTTTAATAGAAAAATTAGTACGTTCTGTAATTAATAATAAATGTTGTTCAACGTTTTCAGCAACAGTAATAGGTAATTGAATACTATTGAAGGTTGTTATGGATGATGAGCGAGACCAGAGTTGTTCAATACATGATTCAATTTCATTTTTTAAATGTCGAGGAGCTGAAAATTCATTGAGTCTTAGTCGTAATTTAACACCAAAGTCACTGTATTTTATTTCAATTTTTTCCAATTGATCCGAATTAGCGTCAATAAAATTTTCAATCTTATTAAAATTTTAATTGATATTAGAAAAAAGCAAAAATTATGTTTACTTACTTGATATCTATTTAATAAATTTAATTTGTATGTGATAACAATATTTCGTTCGATAATATCAAAAATTTGTTTTTTTATTTCAATAACTTTTTTATTATAACCTAAAATAACAATTTGTTTTGGATTTTTTTCTAGAAAAAGACATTTGTATGTAATTAGAACTTCGTCATTTGTCATCTGTTGTGATACTGTGTTATTCAAATCATTTTCTAATTGTTGAGATCGTTCATGTGGCAAGGGTAATTGTATTACTTCTTGTAAAATTCCATTTTGAATAAAATACATTAATTTATCAATATCAGCTGTAGTAGATATTTCCGTAGGTAAATAATACATACATAATCTAGTATTTTCTAATGATAAAACCGTAAAGATATTATTGACTTTTTTATTCAAAAGTTTTTGAAGAAATTTCATCTTATCGTCAGTCATTTTATTCCATGAAAACCATTTTAAAACTAAAAACAAACATTAACTTTCATTAGAGATTTGAAAAATCTTCACTATCATTATGAATTTCGAGTATGTGATTTTACAGCTAAATAACTTTAGCTTTAAACCGAAAATAACTACGATCAATACTGAATCACGTTATTTGAGATTCAGTAAATAAGTTCAACGCCTACGGTCTTTTATTTGTTAAATAACATGATTAGCATTTATTAAATCCTTTCAATACTTGAAATTTCTCCGAACTGAATATTATTGACGTTGTGAACACAAAAGAGTTTCTCTTCAAATATATTTTATTTACCTTTATCATGACGATTATAAAATTTGGCTGAAATTTTCTTAAGAAATTTTTTCATTAAATCATAAAAGAATTGTTTTTTATCAGATTCATGTTCATCTTTGTTAACTAATCGAATTCTATATGCCATTTGTTTTCTATAACGTCGATTATTACTTTGTAAATTTTGTATACTAATTTCGATTTGACTTGATAAATATTTATATAAATATTCTTGTAAATACGTACAAAATTGTGAAACTTCAAAAAATCGCTTTTGAACATTATCTTCAACCCAATAATCAATATGATTCTTTTTCATCGATAATCTTGCCATTTTAAAATAAATCTAAAACTTTTATATAGATTTTTTAGAAAAAAAAATGACATATTGTTTTGATATTTATCTTTATATGGAAAATTTCAATATCACCAAACGAATCCAGATCGACCATATAAAGCATTTTATTATTTATTATCTCTTTGACTTGATAGTCATGCAAGTTGGGATTCATTTCAATTGAAACCAGAGTGTACGTCTTCTTTATGCAAGCCACACTCAGAAATCTGCATCCTAGTTACTAAGTCAACCAGGTAATAAACAAATAAATTATAATAAAACATTTTATATAGTGTATCAGATTCAATCGTCGATTCGTGCAGCTGAAATGGAATACATTAAATATATTCGATCAACAAACGAATTTTAAGTGATGACAATAGAGTGTTGAATGTAAAAGAAAGAAATAGTATTACAAAATAAACATTAGTAAAACGAATTGAATCAAGAGAAAAAAAACATTCTTCATTTCTTTTCTTTGAATAATAGAATATAAAAAACACTAGATTGAAAAAAAAAACCAATGTAGAAGTGAAAAGAATTCTTTCGTTTTCATCATCTTAAAAGAAACAAGATCTTCATAGAAAATAAATGAGTATGTGTTTTTCATAACAAAGTGGGAAAGAACCTTGTCATACTTCCCAGTGAGACAAGCTTTGAAAAAAACGACGTTTATACAGGTAAAAAGCGCACATTTCTACGCGTTAAAAAAAATTTTTTTGAAGAAAAAGGAAGTTTGCAAATATTAACGTTGTGAAATTCATTTTTCTTAAAAAAAAGATTTTTTTAACGCGTAAAAATGCGCGCTTTTTACGCGAATAAACGTCGTTTTTTTTCAACGCTTGTCTGACTAGGTCTTGTCAAAAACACTGTATGCTTGATTTTGATCTTATTGCGACAGTCATTTGAATTTTTTACATCACGAAATATCAAATTATGATAGTAGGTTTTTTTTAAAACTATACAAAAAGTAAAATTCAAGTGTGATGAAAGTCATATGTACAGTGCAGTTGTTGACATGTTCAGCAATCTGAGCAACACAAATAGAAACAATATAAAAGCTCACCCTTTCCATTTCATTTCGATTTAAAAATAAGACAGAGAGAGAAATTAAGTATGATCTAATTTCATAGGAAAATGTCTGTCTCATTCGAAAATTCTCTCACTACTGCCGATAGACAAGAGATTTTATAAATATTTTTCGCGTATTTAAAAAAGTTGTCTTATCTCTACAAAATAAGCTATCAAAGAACCACTTCGCTTTCAAAATGTAAGGCTACAATCATGAAGAAAAACAAGGAATTTTATTTTGTAAATTTTCACAGAAAATATTGCTAGAATATTGTGGTATTTTTTTTTGTGTCTTTTTCTTCATGACTGTACTTTTACATTTTAAATGCGAAGTAGTCCATTGATATCATGTTTTGTAGAAATAAGATACCTCTTGAAAACACACGAAAAATATCTATGAAATCTCTTGTCTATTGACAGCTGCGAGAGAATTTTCGAATGAGATAGACATTTCCTTATGAAAACTTGCTTTTTAGACCATACTTACTCTCTCTGTCTATATTATTTCTAAATCGAACTAAAATGAAAAGGGGTGATTTTTTGTGTTGTTTCCATTGGTGTTGCTCAAATTGCTGAATATATCAATAATCGAGCTATAGAAGAGGTGTCAAGGAACTTTTTGCCCCTGGAACTATATTGCTTTGAGATTTTCTCTAAAAATAAGTAATTCTATTTCGTTTATTCAGTAGTATGTAGAAGCTAGTAACATATATATATACGTTTTATACGAAACAAATTTAAATGAGCTTAATAACGAAACAGCGGAGATCAATTCTCAACTGTCACGGTTTTTTTTGCCTGTTCTGTATCTACAAATTGTTGTGTCTAACAAAAAAACACTTCATATGTTTAAATGATTTATTTTTTAGATTAAAGCCAGTGCTCCCACCTTTTGAAGTCCAAAAAGCAGAAAATACTTTGCAAAAAGCAGAAAGACAGCAAAAAGTATGTTTATGATATGAAACTAACGGGTAGCTCGTAATAAAAGATGGTCTCAGTATTTTGTTAACATCTTAAGCGTTATCTCATCGCTCACGCTTTATTTTTTTTATCAAAAGACTCACCGTCTACTTCTGCACAAATTGCATATTTCATTGTAAAAATACTTATTTCTTTCTCTTTCGATATCACCACCATTTAAGAACAGCACTACACACAACTTTCAAAATCTCTATTTTTTTCAATTTTTTTCGAAAACATCCAGTCCTTAGATTAGTCTTATTATCATTGGTCGTGCCATATTCTTTATCCAGCAATAAAATAAATTGCCTTTGGTACGTTGATTGAAATGAACCAATTTATCTCTTGAGTGGCGAACAAATTATACCTAAAGTAACAGGATTAATTGAAAAACTGGTCATTTTGGAAAAAAAATTGAAAAAAATGAAGACTTTGAAAGTTGTGTTTAATGCTTGTTTTAAATCATGATGATGTTGAAAGAGAGATAAGTATTTTTTACAACTAAATATGCAATTTGTGCAGAAGTAGACGGTGAGTCTTTCGATAAAAAAATAAAGCGTGAGCGATAAGATAACGCTTAAGATGTTAACAAAATACTGAGACCCTCTTTTATTACGAGCTACCCGTTAGTTTTAAATTTTAGTTTCACTATACTAATCACTCGCATTGTATAGTATCACAAAACACAACTAATTAACAGGTAGATAGAATCATTGAACATGTTTTCTTTTTAAAGAGTATTCTTCATCTGATTAAAGAGCTTTTGACAAATCTTTTTTACCTAATAAATATTTATTCATTACAGTATATGATAAGGAGACATTCAAAATAATTGTTGGTTAAATCATAGCATTTAAAAATTTTTTGTTTCTTATTGCTCATAGCATTATCAATATTAGCCTTTTATTAGCAATGTTCGAAAAACTGTTGATGACGAACGATAAATGTTAGTTGAGACGAATCAAATTTATATTCTTTTAAAGATCATTAATATTCGACGACTTTGAACCATTCTCTATTGAAGATAACTCTATTCAATTTCTGTTTTCTGGTTTAACTTCTGATGACATAATTATTACTTCTGCAGCTACCACTGCTTTGTGAAGATCTTCTTCGCTAATCGAGCTGTCATTATCATCTAGAGCTGTTTTTTCTGTTCCTTTCCTCTCACTAATCATATTAATTATTCATGTTCATTGAGTAAACAAACGAAAGAATGTATATGTTGGCGTATATGAATTATATGAGTAATTAAAATACGATAGAAAACCATAGGTAAAGAATTGATTTAAAGTCAAATATATAGATTGGTAGTTGTTTGTAGTCAGTAGAAAATAAAAATCATCTGTATCAAATAGAAAGAATTAGAATGGCACAAAAATATCAGTAGTTTTTGATACGATTTTTTAAATAATTATGGAAACGAAGGTATTTCAGGTGAAAAATGTTGATTGAAATAATAAATAACACCGTATCAAAAAAAAGCAGAAACGACAGAAAAAAAACGAGTAGCTGCCTAATTCGAGTTCGAATATAAATGAAAATTTCGGGCGCACACCCCCTTTTTCATTGCTGCAGCAAAAGATAAATTTTTATTCGAATTCGAATTTATAATTCGAATAAGGCACCCATATAACTACGGCCAAAAAAGGAAAAGATAAATTTTTATTCAAATTCGAATTTATAATTCGAATAAGGCATCCATATAATTACGGCCAAAAAAGTAAAAGATAAATTTTTATTCGAATTCGAATTTA